TTTGAAAGACCAGTTGAAAGCGGTATACAATGAATTAAAAACAACTAAAGACAAATAGGCTGCCGCTAAAAAGGAGATAGAATACATGAAGACTTCTTCGCTGACTCTGCCACCTTACCCCGCTACACCTTTATATTCCATTCTTACTCCGAGTGCACCCCCTCTTAAAGGCAACTTGGAATCGTCCTCAGAAAGTGATGATGATTCCGAAACTAGTAAGGGAATCCCTGTGGCCATGTGCCCAGTCTGACTAAAACAATAAAAATGGAAAAAGACGAATGTCAAAGAAAAGGACAATGAGCGGGGAGGGTCCAAATACAAATACACACAATGGGCTGCTCATGAGCCCCTGATCCGAAATTGGTCGAAAGGTGGTCAAAAGAATTGCCTAGAAGACCGTAGAAAGCGTGACCTAGAAAAACTTGGAGTGAATTGGAAAAGTTGAAAAATATTTACTCGTTACATCCCATGGACAGAGTTCAAATTTTATCCGCCATGGTGGAATCAAATATGGGAAATTAACTTCTCACTCGAGTGACAGCACAGTTCGGAGAGAATGGATAGAAGTTAGAGGACAGGTGGCGTTCTATCAGCAACTGGCTCCACGATCACAGCCCTCCTAAGACAGATTATAACAAAATAACTAATGTCAACAAAAAGGTACTGAAGACGTTAGGGACTTCGAGGATATTCGGATAGAACACTTAGGGCTTGCTCGGGATGGTGGGGCAGATGATATAGAAAAGCAGACACTCGCCCAATTAAAATCAGCCTTTGTGGTTGGCTTTAAACCTGAACTCGCGAAAATGCTGAAGTTACATTGCTGCAATCGGGAGCAGCACCACACCTCCCTCAGAGACCTGATTGGAGAAGGAAGTAAGCTGGAACGGGACATGGAATCAAAACTCAGAGTCATGCCCACTGTAGACCCCACTAACACTGATAAACATCCCAGAAAATGCCACAATTGTGGAAAGGAAGGACATTGGAGTAAAATTTGCAGACAGAAGAAAAAGAATCCAGGCAGGAAACGAATCCCAAACCTCCTAAAGGGGCTTCTAGATGGGATAAATTCACCCTAATGCAATGCCTGACTCTACTTGAGCAATATAAAGGGTACTCAGAGTCTCAACTGAAGCAACTCATTGATCTTACAAAAAACTAATTCAGCCCACCCTCTACCTTTTAGCCCCTTTTACTGCAGCTTTAGAAAATCGACTGGACGGCTGTTATGTTTTAATGGGAGTGGGCGATAAGGAAATTGACTGTCTCCTTGACACAGGTGCCAAGTTAACTTGTCCTTCCTTTGTTTGATGGCCATGGTCTACCCTGAAAGGGTGAGAAGAGGACAGCAGTGGGAGCTGGGGAGAAAGAACTCAAGATTGAGAAAACAGAACCCCTTCCTGATACAGCTGGCCCCCTATGAAATAGTCACCTCTATGTGGGTGGGTCCTGTCACACAAGCTTTACTGGGCATGGATGTATTGACCCAGATAAACTCGTCAACAACAAACTTGACAATGGTCAAGTCACCTGGTCCATAAGGCACCTTACCCAAGAGGAATAGCAAGACCACCAGGAAGGCCTACCTTGGCACAAGCTTAACCCCTGGTCTTGTGCAGTATACGGGCAACTCCCAATAGGATTATAGGCCTCAGTCCCTTTGAAGTCATGACAGGTTGGCCTATGTCCTCACCCAGTACCATTGACTTACGTACTGCTGACTACCACCTGTTAATTGACTCTTTGCTCCAATATTGTCACGATCTAACCATAGCTGTGAGCTCTGCTTTCAAAAGGTGCTGGCAGCTTGGGGAAATCCCCCAGATGGAGCACACAACTTAGTTCCCGGCACCTGGGTCTACATCAAAAAACTACATAAAGAACCTTTGGGCACCATGTGGGAAGGTCCATACCAAGGGAAGGTCCATACCAAGTTCTGCTGACAACACAATCCACAGTCCACAACAAGAAATCTTGGATCCACACATCTCACTTAAAAAGGACTACTCACAATATCGAAACATGAAGTTGTCCGCAATAAGTCTGTTACTCGCGTCTTTTTGTATGGTTTCAGTTGGTAATGTACCTAAATGAGAACTAAATGTAAACACTTTCCTTTACCTCTCATACTTATGCCTTTATGAATAATGTGTCCAGCTGTCGGGTGTGTACCCATATTCCGACCCACTCCAAAGGAGGAATCCAAATACATCCAATCCCCTTCAATGCCTCTGAAGTGGTGGAACGGGTGCTGAAACAGAACAATTCACTGCCCGGAAATTGGGAGGGTTTACAGACCGAAGCTGGCTGCTCAATGGTTAACAACGACAGGCTAATGGAAGAGTGGGCAGTCTGCAGGGTGCGCCCTCACTGTCTTCCATAGATTCCAACAACCAGACTACTGCACCACCTCCTCTCCCCCTTTTGTTACACTGACCAACACTTTGTATGAAGGAAAGCGCAGAACCCCTATCTGTCTCACCTGAACTGCAGTTCAGGAGAAGGGGACACCCATGGGAGTCAGCAAATGCTCCCAATATTATAACATTTCTATTTTCCCCCTCCTGGGAAAAAATTCCCAATCCTTTCTGACCAAAGGGATTCAACAGCTCTGTCCTCACGCAGGGCTCCAACAGACTTCTTATTTTTCGCAAAGCCAACCGCAGAGACACTTTTAAACAAAATTGTTTACTAGAAATATTACCCATTTCACACGTTTTAACGGTACCTATTTTGTTTGTGACCACAAGGCATACGCCTGGTTATCCCCCTCCTGGACAGGGTCCTGTTATCTCGCTTATGTGGTCTCGTTTATGGGTCACCTTACAAAACTACCCGATATCCACTCTACTATGTGCAGTGTGCAATCACTGAAACCGAACAATTCTTTTCTATTCTGTTTCCCCCGTATGGCACTGCCAGGTTGGCCAAGGAATTATACAATATGGCTGCTGCTCTGCATCAGATAGCTAATTACGCAGCCCAGGCCTTAGATAAAACCACTGCCGAAATGCTAGCCACTCGCACAACTGTCTTACGAAACCAAACAGCCCAAGCTTCTCTCTGAAAAAGGAGGCACGTGTGCCCTCTTCGCGAGAGAATGTTACACTTACATCCCTGACAGTTCGGAGAAAATTACCAACCTTGCGGATTACATCCGTAAAGACGTTGACAAACTCAAATACCCCCAGAAAACACCCTTTGGAGTTGGGCTATGGGTTGGTTAGGATAGCACCGTTAAAATGGAAAGGACATGATTAAGAAGTATTTTCCATATGTGACTATCTAATATATTTCTTACTGTTTCCATATTAAGTATGTACTTTCTGGAGAAAGACGTAGCAGTGTTGATAATACAGATTCACTTTATGTTATATACATGATTTCTAACATTAGGTTAAAAAGCATACTGCTTTTCAATACTTAAATAAATACAACTCCTGATCTGGTGAATACTGCTAAAATCTGGGAATCAATGGCACTTTGAATTTGCCATTTCATCAGGTCAATACAAGTTGATAGTTATGCCTTTGGGATGAAGACTGTATTTGCTACATTATTGTAGTATCAGCCTACACAGGTTCCAGGAGACCTGTTGCACTGCTTGAGGAATGGCAGAATTTCCCAGTTGCCTATCCATCCCGGCTGTGACCCTGTTCTAAATGCTCAGAACAGGATCATTAATGTATTAGAAGTGGGCACCTGGCTAGTATTAAGGCACCTTCCGTTTTAACCCAATGTGCAAGTTGGTTGTTGCTGACTGATGGGTCAAATGGCCTTTTTCTGCACTGTTGGGATTCAGTGATATCCAGCAAGGTTTGGACAACATTAAGGTTTGACAATTAACATTCAGACCATACACATTCCGGGCAATGAGCATCTCCAAACGACAAGTTCTAAACACCTTCCCTTGGTGTTCAACGACTGTTTCAGCACTGAGTGTTCCTTCATTGGCATCCTGGGATAACATTAACCAGAAACTTTTGATTCCCACCTTGAAGTTGAAAATTTGGGCCCAAGTGTCAGTGGGACGTTTGCCAGTGGACGTTGTCACAACTAACTGGAAATCTACCCTCAGTGGTTATATACATAAGAAAACTTAACAGCAGAATCACTAACTCAAGATCAAAGTGAGAATGTTGTTTGATTTTTTTGCTCCCCCAGCCCAAGGACAGTAAAGTCAGCTGAGGTTAGGAAAATCAACATGGAGCAGTATTCGGCAGCAGTAGTGCAATAGTACAAGTACTTAAGCAGTAAATTCAATATTGGCCATGTTAAATACAGCAGTAATATGTCAAACCAAGAGTGCTTTAGTGTTGATACTCAAAACAGCAACTACAATTCATATAATTCTTCCAAGTAATCCTGCCAACATTTCGAATGAAATAGAATCAAGTTTCTTCAAGGGTGTTAAGAGTAAAACCAGAAATAATGACAATTTATTAACAGCAAGGCAAGGCCAACAAAAATAAACTGCAGTATATAGCTTCCAAATCAGAGCAGTTTATATCAATGTTCACCTTTGGCCCACTCTTTTAAGTGTTTCATTGAAACAGCAGGATGGCCTCAACCAATTCCCGTTCTGTAAATGTCATCAGGCAGCCATAGCAAGCAGTTCAAGCAGGGTCAAGCGTGGCTAAATCATCCCTTATCTGCTAGAGAAGTGAACTTTTCATTTCCATGAAGTAATTGATGTGTTGGTTCAAACAGGATCAAATGAAACTTATACTGGTGTGCAAGAATGAGTATTAAGCATTCCTCAAAATAAGTGCGTGATTTTGTTTATCAGGTAAACACTCAGTCCGGGCATTTCCAACAAATTAGGAGACTAAGAAGAATTAGAAATATACGAGCTATGGTGAATTTAATAGGCTAACATGGATAACTTTTGATTGTTGGTGCTGGCACAGTACAGGCTTTAGCCACTTTTGCAGCTATCCTTGAAGACATAGCAACGTGGTTTTATTGTTTGCAAACAAGAGATTTCAGTTACTTACCGTATAATTCCGTGTGTTTGTGACAGTACTGCCATCAAGCAGGTAGTGTGTCTCTGTGTAGTTTTCAGCAAAAAGCACACTGTAAAACAGGAACAGCGTGAAACAATTAAAAGCATAGCCCGACACAACACAGAGAACATAAACAACTCATTGAATACATTGTAATGGACAAATTCTGGATCACATGCACATAGTATGATTCAAGATTAAAATATCTTTCTTCCTGCAAATCTAAAATAATCAGGCAACGAATTTAAGTATTCTTTTCAACTGAGTGCATAAAAACCTTGCAGGGATTGGAATTTTTCTTTGGAGTTGTACTAGCTTTTTGAACATGGGCAGAACATCATGCATAGAGCTATTTGGCCAGCTTCACATGAATGCCAGATTTGTAAATTATTATAAGAAATGATTTTGAAATTTTCCATGTCTGAATTGATATTTAATAGGGTGGATGTATTCATGATAGACAGTGCATTTCAATGATATGTCTCATTGTGTACAACTCTTCTGCTGTTACTCCTGAAGCGGCAAGCTACATTATGCTACCCGTAACTCCTAATGCTCTGCCACTTCATTTGAAATGCAAGTCATGCTGCACTGATTTTTACTAACCCAGCCCATGTTAGTATGCAGCTTGGACGGAGTTCACACCCATCCTCCTCCCCTGACCAATTTTATGATAGGACAGGTAGCATGCTCAGCATTGCTCCACTTCTGGAGAACTGAATGGATTGAACAATGTAAGAGCTGTTTACCACCTAACCCCAATGCCTGGACCCTCCCCAGGCCTCAGCTGGGAAGGGTGCAGAGTTGGGGTGGGGTTCCAATGTTTTAAGCTAATTAGAGAGGCATTTAATGATTTGAAACAACATGGAATTTCATTACATTTTTGTGCGTAAATGCTGAAATATTAGGTAAGTATTGAGGCACGTGTGAACACAGATGGTGCATAGTCTGACACTCCATTTTGCCAGCAGTAATGATTTGCATCATTTACTCTATATATTGAGTTGTGGTGGTAAGAATTTCAAATATAGTTACAGAACTGAGACCGTTGTGAAGGTTTATGTCATCACTGCATTTCAGCTGGTTACTGCATGTAATCCAATCAGAAATGTATCAAAACACATCTCATAGCTGGGACTTACTTATAGCAATAAGGGCCTCTCCTACTTTCCTCCTGGCACAAACAGAACCTACAAATCGCTTCTGTAGGGAAGGCCCAATGCAGGTAACCTAACTGGCTAGCATCAGGCCTTTCACACAATTAAGATTAAGATGCCAGTGGGGCAGCAATCACATCCAATCTGCAGGGTGATGGCTGCTGCTGGTAATGCTCTGAGACCCAGCCCAAGGATTGCCGCTAAGAAACTTTTCCCCATGGCAGACATGTCTAAGATCAGAGGGTATAAGCTTAAGGTGAGGAGTAAGTGGTTTCGAAGAGATCTGAGAAATTTTTGTTGCACTCACAGGATGGTAGAAATAAGGAATGTGCTGCCTATGAGGATGGTGAAGGTAGGCACTCTCACAACATTCAAGAAGCATCTGGATGAGCACTTAAAATGCCAGGGCATAGTGGGCTATGGATTAAGTGCAGGTAAATGGGATTAGAGTAGTGTGGTTTTTGTTGGTTGGCACAGACATGGTGGGCTAAAGGGCCTGTTTCTATGCTGCATGGCCCTGTGACTCTATGGATCCCTGGACCTAGGTAAGCAGTACAGGATGGGATTGGGAATGCTATGGGATGGGGCTGGCGATGGGATGGGGAATGGTATGGGCTGGAGAATGGTTTGGAATGGGGTAGGTGTCGGATGGGGCTATAGGAAGGACAATATCAGTGAAGGGTTGTAGCCAGTTAGAGGCAAAGGTCAGGAGTTGGCTTTCAGCAATCTCCCCTTTCTCAATGCCATCAATCTGGCACTGTGTCTGCAAATGAGGGATTCCTCTTCCTACCAGGCTACAGGCAAATCTGACAGTCTTTTAGGCCCACTAAATTCCAGCGGGTTCACACAGACAGCTGGTGGTATACTCATCACCAGCAAGCAGGATTCCCATGTTGGGCCCTTCCTGCAACCAAGTTAATTATGGACCATTATCCTGATGTGAGGAATTGGAAGTGGTTAGAGTGCCCTGATTTTCCCCGCAACTCTACCATCATGACTACTCTGGTAGGGTCAAATAAATTCAATTGCACATACTAATTTTAATTATCTTAACATTTCCCAGCACATGTGTTGGAAGCAGACAGCATCCTTGTAAGGTTTGTAACGAAAGCCCTTTACAACAAGACGTTTTCATGTCATAAAATCTTACTGCTTAAATTTAAATATCAGGAGGCATAACTGTTTATGTTTGTTTACTGTTCACATAATTCATAATCATAGTTAGTTCACTCCCAAGACCAGGGGTGAGAGCAATGAAAAGATCAGTAACTACACTTGTGCGTTAAATAAACTACATGGATTGGCCTGGATGAGCTCATCAATTACTGAATGCAGATAACTCATCCTTAGAATGTGGATGAACCTCTTGTTTAATGTTGTGACGCTTCTGTACAGACTGACTGGTAGATAATGGGTTTACAATTTGCTGTAATGTAAATAGATTTCAGAAAGTGTTCAATAGAGTGCATGACAGACAGTTTAATGCACAAAATTCAGGCACATGTAGGAATGTAAATGGCAATTTGATCAATAGATCAGTAAACAATGAGTTAAGGATTTGTGCATGTATTGGAGAAGCATTATAAATATTTTAATGCAAGGACAATGGATACTCACCTTTACTTTTCACTGCTTATGGATCATATGGCATAAATATCATCAGAAAATTTGTTTACAATACCAAAGAGACTTGGGCAAACAGCAAGGAAAAGAGCAAAATATACTTCATGATGGCATGTACAGGTGGCAGAATAAGTAACTAACTGGTGGATGCAATTTATTATTGAGAAGTATGACATAATGGTAATGACTTTCCTTGAGTTTTTCACCATATGCTGTGCAGGAATAGCACAGAAAGCTATTTCGTGAGAAAATTTGTTGAGCTTGTTTATAGGCAATTTTTCCTTGTAAAACGGGTCTCTTGAGCTTGCTTATGGCTTTTGAGCCTTGCTGCAATCAACTCGATGAGTCCCGCTGGCTTAATTTGCTTGTGTCAGAGACAGACTGAACCAGCTCCGAGTTTCCTGACTTCGCACTACTCTTGTACTTTGTGCAATTTAGACTTAAGACACAGGAGGCACAAGAGCTCCTGGGATTATCTGATCAAGATGGGAAACTTTTTATGGTGATTTCTGCGGCTTGAAAGTGCTCTTTCATATGATCCTAGGATAGCGCAGCACTGAAAAAGTCCAATCAACCCATCAAATCTGCACTGGCTCTTTGAAGTACCAATTCAGTTAATCCCTTGCCATTGCTCTTTCCCAAAAACCGATAACACCAATAACATTTTGTTTCCAAGTACGTACTCAATTTTGCTTTGAAGGCTGTTATTGAATCAGTACCCATCACCTATTAGGCAGGGTTAATAATAAAAAATATACTAAGAAAGTTTTTCCTTTTATTGCCTCTGATTCTTTTGCCTATTATCGGACAATTATGCTGTGTGGCTACCTAACTGTTAGTTATTAAAAAAGCAATTAAAGGAACGCGCTGTTAGATTCAATCAGCCATTCATTGGGATGTACAATCTATGTACCTGGTGTCAGACCAAAACTGAATTTCAGTCCATAAAGATCTTCAGCTGACCACACAATTGAGCAACATTGTGAATAAAAATGTTCGCTCAATAATAAGCAGAGTGCAGACCATAATAAATGAGCTCACACTTGCTAAACCCAAAATATAATGTTTACCAGTTCCATGATTAGACAGTACTTACTGAATGAACAGGAGTGTGTTAATAGCTGTATCAACAAACAATTTAAGAAAATTAGTCAAACTCATCATGTGACTCAGTTATGCTTGCTGGAATATATATTCGTATGCAGGGACTCATTCTTCGTTAAAAGAAATATATTCAAACATTGAACTTTTTTAAAAATTATCTGGGAGCTTGGGGAGCCTACAGTTTCCCATTGCTTTATCCTTGGCAGTGCCTTGGCCAATCAAAGCTGACTTGCCAATGTATCAGGACTCTTTTCTCCTGTAGTGTTGTTCATTTGAAATTTAGCCTTCTTGTGTTTGTCCTGATAAGTGCAAAACAAAAAGCTTTGGCTACATGTACTTCTTTTACACAATACATTGATACAGTGAGATGAAATAGGGTAAGAAGAGGTTTATATGAAGGATAAACACCAGCAATAATGTTTTGCGCAGGGCAGCCTATTCTAGTTCATGAAATGTTTTTAATTATTTGCAATGCTATTAAGATTTGTCACTTGGGCAAGTATTGAGTGAAGTGATGAGTCTACTGGCACCAACACTGAGAAAAGAAGAAAAGACAGCTATGAACAGTGCTTGTCCTGTTGAGAATGCACAACTCTTTCCAACACAATGCTGCAGTCCTGGTGTGAGGGAGATGAAAGCCAATGCCAGTTGTTACGAAAATGTGCTATAATATTGCTTGGAAGACTATTGTTTTGAAGAATTGTGGAAAATGGATTTATTTCAAGTTCTACAGAAATACCAGTAAGTGTTTATTTTAGAAAAAGAAGTAGTAGAAAGTTCACTGTGGACATCAGAGATTTCGTTTTAAATAAGGTTTCTCAGAAATCACATGACTGCTAATTGTTTTGCTATTGATCCTACTGGAATTTTTTTCAACAGTGACTGACTTGAAGAGGTGTTTGTTTTATCTGGTTTAATTGGAGGAAATCCTGACTTGAACAAGTTGATTTGAAGAAAAGCTCACTAAGAACAAGCTGCTCAGCTGAATGCTCCCATTTTTGAAATAAAACTCTTTACAACAGCTGAGGGTGAAACTCAGTCATTCTTTAGAAAGTGTGATTGAATAAACAATTCAACTGTGTATCTCATGAGCAAGCTATGTTTACAAGTTTACAGGGAGATATTCATAGGTTAAGTAAGTAGGCAAAATGTTGGCAAATGAGTACAATGTGGGGAAATATAAAGT